GTAAAAATCCTTTAGCAATAAACTGTTTATAATCTTATGACGATAATATTATTACGATAATATCATATTACGGCGGCCCTAAGGAAATCATCACCCTCTATTTCCATCCTGCGGGTGTCGAATCAAATGTAGAATGAGATAAATTATAATTAGTCTTATTTTTCTTAATTATTAATAAGTCTTCCGTCTTTCTATTATATCTTCATATATCATAAACCAGTAAAATATTTGAGTTGTATCGTATTTCACCTTAAAATCATATTTTAATGGATTTTGTCTGTTCGCGCAGCTTTTCTTAACAGTAATTCAAGGGCATTAACATTAATTTATTTGTAGTTATGTATCGTATTTAAAATCAATAAAGGACAAGTTTGAGTGTCAATGTACTTACATATGAACGAGAGTGAAAACGGGCTCAAAGAAACAAGTACGTCTTGTTTGCGAGAGAACATTTATTTTAAATTTCTCGATTTACTTTTAACTTGCTACGTTGATAAAACGATATCTAAATGAACTTCGATCGGTAGCTGAATTGTTAACGTTTTAATATTGTGTATGAACGATCTACTGCTACCGTCAAACCTTTTTTCGTTTTTGAGAGTTCGACGCACCCCGGTAGTTTAGAGCGCTAGACTTAAATTTCATAGTTACTGATAGTTGTATGGACTGGGGGTATCTAATTTCGGCTGTTTGACAGAGTTGGATCCCCGGTCAACCCTCATTTTTTTGTGTTGTTTACCAAATGCCCGGCAGTAAATAAACACATTTTGGGGAAACCATACCTACCTAAGTAATCCTTATCCTTATCCTTTTATTAACCTTATGAAGTTCGGCGAGGGGTTCGATAGGCATATATATGGTTAGCAATGCAAACGGCTGAGTAACAGCGACATCAATTTAAAAATATTTCTATTTCCCAATTCGCAATAAAGGAGACGTAACAAACTCTTCCTCCATATAGTAATGAATAAAGGAAATTTATTATTCATTAGCTTGTCCCATTTCCTTAATCCTACTACTAAAATATAAATTGAACACTAAGGACAAAAACACAACATGATTTCAAAACGCCTCTATGACACAGAAGAAATTCTTAAGCCATTGTACATTTTAGTAGATAAAACAGAAGAAAGATAATCTATTTAACATGTGGCGCAGGCTATTAAGTAAGTATATTTCGTACGCCTCAATGTTTTGTAAAGCAAAACTGAGGAACTTATGTCACTTATCTAATGATATAATAATTATGTATCAATTTGTAAGGTTTGTTCACATCAAGAACCGCTTCCGTTTACATGCGTAACTTAAAAATGTGAAAATTGACAGGATGAGAAATCTTCTGACGCATTACATTGGTCAACGTGATGTTGTAACGTTTTAAGTTTATTATTTGACATCTGTTTATTTGACATGATCCTCAGAGTGATTACTTTTTTTATTGTTTTATTTATAAATAATCAAAAGTAATAAATATTTTCATCCAAGCAGATAAAGCTTTAATGAATATATTCGATGATTTTCGGCTAAACAAGTGGTAAATTTCTATAAAATAAAATCAATTGAAGCCTTTGTGATAGATCAGGGGTGGCGAACCTTTATGTATCAACGTGACCATATTTCTAAAGAAGTGTTTAATTACGTAGTAGACGTGCCGTAAAATAATTTTGACTTCGTGATTATTGGGAAAATAAAAGTACTAAATGCTATCGACTCAAAACTCTTTATTTACTACGAAAAATAAATAAAGAGTTTTGAATTTAGACATTTATTATTATACATTGCAAAATATTTTGATATGTATAATAATAAATGTTTCAGTTATACGCGTAATTCAAATTAAAGTAACATTAGTGTGACTTCTGTAGTTGCAGATTAGATGAGAAATAACTTATAATGAGGTTATAAAATCATAAATATAACTTTTAAATACAGTTGTGTCAATGAATTTGACTATTACGCTATGCGTAAACCCAAAATGCATTTCTTGGGCGAGGCGTGGACTTTGAAGGGCTGTGATGATGATGATGATGAAACGAACTATGTGTCATTAGCAATAGTAGTCCACGACGTAACCAGAATAACTCGCGTTCAATCGTAATATAATGCTTCATAGTGAACTTTGTGATTGGTGGCGTGCCAAAAATATTGAGTCGCGTGCCATCGATGGCACGCGTGCCATTGGTTCGCCATCCCTGTGATAGATTATCACTTGACAACGACTGGACCGATTTTAATGAACACTCACACTCACAATAGGACCCGGTAAGTAGCGCTGTTGTCGAGATCTAGAAAATGATCGTGCGAAGCCGGGGCAGATCGTTAGTCAGCATATAAAATTGGATTACAAATAGGATCCAACTCCCTTATGTACCGTGTGTCTGTCAAGGCTCAGTATTCATACCTCCCTAATGATTAGTTTTTAAAAAAATATTTGAATTATACATAAACACTACATCTGTCACTCAGAGGGATAGGCACACCTCTCTCGCCTCCTCCACATCCATGTACCTACATTTAGATGCTCGTCGGTTACGGGTAATCTTAATATTAATATTTACAATGTAATATAAATAATCATGATCATTATAATAATCATAAATCATATATGTATAATAATCATCATCACTTGATTTAGAAAACAATTTACTTGATCGTTCGAATAATAATATGTCTATTACTATTTTCTTTATATTTTTAGACACATATTAAAGCAATAAAAATTAATAACGCAAAGAAATAAATAACGTAAAAAAGCATTAAAAAATAACTACTTTTTTATAGAAGAGGGGGCAAACGAGCACGCGGCTCACCTGATGTTAAGTGACTACCGCCGCCCATGATCAACCGCAACACCAGGGGAACTGCAGGTGCGTTGCCGGCCCTATGTCAATTGTTTCTAACTTTGCAAACGAAATCACTATAGATTAAAGACGTCATGTCTTGTAAAGTAACGTCACATATAATACTACTGCAATAGGGATGTCATTTTTCTGGTAAACCAGAAGATAAGAGTACCTACCTACACTCATATTTGGCATAGTATAAAGAGACCAACGATGACCACTTTACAATTCTATTTCCACGCATGAATTATACGCAACATCTTTCAATAGATTTTTAATTTTTTGCCTTATTTAAAAATTAAATTAGAAAAAGCAAAACAAATATATTGATTCAATTTAGTATATTAAATTGTCGGTTCTCTCTACGCATATATGTAATTACTTTAAGACATGATCTGATCTGATGTTTTCACATCATATGACAAGCTTGACTATTTTTGAAAAAAAAATTATAAATGTGTTGTAGGTGAAACTTTAGTGTCCGATATAATATTTTCTGCCGCAGTGCTTTCAACGAAGTTCTTTATTTTTGTTGATGCAATGTAAGTAAATTCAATGTTAGAATTGTATTATGTATATTTACTTTATTTTATTTCAGGTATTGAATATATGCTCATAAATATTATAATTTTAATATTTTGTGGAAAGTTTTCAGCCTCGCTATTATTAAAAAAATCAAACTCATTTATTGCATGTATTTACACGTGTTCTTGTTACTTAACTAAAACTGCTATAGGACATTATTTAATTATGTACTGTATGTAACCATTAGGTATATGAGTAGTTTACTCGAGTTTCGTTGTACAATGTATTGCTGTTAAGTAACAGTAATTTAACAAAGTTTTTTCTTTAACCTCCAAATAAGTTGTTGTAATAGGTCCGATTTTAGCTTTAGGTAAAATATTTAAGGCTGAGAAAATTTTGTGAAAGAATTTAGAAACTTGGCATGTTGTTACGCAAGTAACGAAGCCGTTAAAAACCCATTGAGCTGTTATTATTACGTTTAAATACGAATTCTGACACCTTGGAGACGATAGTGTTATTCTTTGTCGACATTCACATCCGTTTTCATGTAATTTTAAATTTTGTAAATGGTAAATATTGTGGTATAATTATAAATTAATTATTTCCGTTTTTTTTTTCTTTATTGTTGCTGTGACACCATTGTTTTCGCAAAATTTTATGATTCTAAGTGGACGGAAGTACCTACATACCGTACAAGCATAGTAGGCGCTTGTAATAGGTAATATATACCTATTACAAGCGCTATAAGTTTTAACGGGTAAGTTTGCAAGTGTAAAAATACTCGACTTAAATGGCATATTTAACTGCGTTCACTCTTTTACTATTTGACTAAGCTTATGTTTGAAGTACCGTATGAGGCGAGCTGTGGAGCAAGTTATGGAGAGGGCTATGCTCGGGGTTTCTCACCGTGATAGGAATGAGGATATGCGCAGTAGAACTACAGTAATAACCCACCTAGCCCAACGGATAAGTAAGCTAAAATGGGTCGGCTATATAGCTCGAAGACCGGACAACCGATGGGGATGTAAGGCTCGAGTGCCAGCCTCGTACCGATAGGCGAAGTTTAGTGCGGTTCCCCACTAGATGGAGTAACGCTCTATTAAGAGATGCTGGAAGTCGATAGATGCACGTGGCTCAGGTCAGGACCGTGCGTTGGGGCATTTTTTGGGGGAGGCTTCATCTTCAGCAGTGGACTTGTGAAGGGGCTGTAATGATACCTATCCTTTGATGGATGAATTTCCAAGTATCAAATTATGTGACATGACGGCATCTTTTGTTTGCGTTGACTTTAAAACCTGAATCAGTTACGAACTGTAGATATGTATATTATATCTGTAGATATGTGTATTTGATATTAATTGCAACTTGATACCTCTATCCGTTCCTGAAAAAGAATCGTGACAGACGGACAGACGGACGAATGGACAATAAAGTTACCATAAGTTTCCGTTTTTTTCTTCATGTTACGGAGCACTAAAATATATTCGTCTTTTGGAAACAACAAAAAAAAATTTAATTCACTGTTTCATTAATATAAAATAATGTTAACTAAGTAAATGAGTTTAGTAATAAGAGTTGTAAGAATAAATCCAGGTTATAACAATAACACAGGCAATGTCTAGGGTTACTCACCACCAGCTCCGCGAATTTGGCATCCAGCTCATCCTGCGGCGGCATCGGGTGTGTTGGGGTGACAGCCTGCAGCGCCAGGCCGCCCTCGCCGCCCACCACACAGTATGTGATCTCCGGGGGCTCGTCATTCTGTCCAAGAAATATAAAGCGTTACTGCAGTTGAAGATATGGGTGCTTAAAACCGCTCAGCATTTATTATTTTTTTTATTTTAAGTTATCATAGATCTAGTACCATGCACGCGCTAACTAGGTATAGGTCAGTAGAATTATAGGCATCTAATAGTAAGGCTCCCTATACAATCACAATATAAGTAATTGTGTTGGTCGTTCAATTAAAAATAAATAAATAATGATGAATCAGTAAATTAAATATTGTTTATGGTCATGGCAAGTATTAACGTGTATGGATTTACATAAACACTATAATAAAGTATTTTTGTATACAGCAAAAAAATAAGATTTTCGAACATCCGCATCACTGTAAATTTACACACAATCGAAATAAATTCTCAACTCAGTATCATAAATAATTAAAGAATTCAACAACAATTGAGTTTCGTGTAATGTGTAAAAAATCCTCATGAATCATGTAAGTGTCCATGGAGAATGGCCCTGTAAAACATTTCGTTGCGATGTTAAGACATACCTACTCGTAAATCATTGTCGATGATAATTTGCTCACCATACACGACTGTCGGAACTCCACGCAAGAAGAATCACAGATCGAAGAATCGAAGGAGAATCGATCAAGAGTAGGTACCTATTTCGGACGTAGTTTTAACGTAGGGTTCAATACAATATTTAATATTAAAAGATATAATTCGCATTACTTTAATATAGCGCGTCTGTTAGTTTACTAATAATAGAGATTTAACATATTGTAAGATGTATAATTTTTTTATACGTATTTGAACGACGCTGCAGCTATTTTATAATTGTAGCAGGAATGGGTCGGCTCGACCGGGGCAGGACCACGCTCTCACAGAATACCAGCGTAAAATAGCAGCGTAATGTTGCTGTGTTTCCTATGGTAAGAGTGTAGAGAGCCGGAGACCCTTTTAACTGGAATCAAAGCGTTCCATCTTAGTCCTCGGGTAACAACGCATTTGCATTTTGATTCTTATTTGAGTATAAATGTGGATGTCTATGGGCCACAGCATCCACCTACCACCAGGTGGACTGTGTGCTCGTTTGTCACCCAATGTTATAAAAAATACATTCATGTGATTAGCACGCGTATACTACTTGCTTGACAAATATAAGCATTAAATATATCTATTTAATTTATTCTTAGTCTTTGATAATATAATTGGGTGGATGTTTAAATTAACACTGTAAAAATGTGCTAGATTTCTCTCTTTCTTGGCTACAATAATCAGAATTCTTGAGGTAGCCCAGAAACAAATTGTTGGTGATAAATAAGATGGAGTAATTTCCATTATAACGTTTAAACATCCTTAATGTGATATCATTCCCCTGTTGTCTATTCCGCGTATCTACACTTTATTGCAGAAAAGATTCATGTCGCTAACTGAACCCTAAAACTTTAAAGGAAGCACTAATAATCTTTACAAGGAATAATGAGGGATCTATCGACAACCAATTATAAATCGATTGTTAAATACGCAACCGGTTCTGCTTTCTTTTTATATGTTGTACTTTATTGCTTGCACTAGATCACGTATGACGTTACGGACGCTAAAATAGCCGATTCAATTTCTTTGTTCGAATTTCTAAGGCTGTGATGTAACTGTTCATAAAGGGGACTTAATAAAAAGTATTTCTCGGAAAGTATGCACGTCAGGTTTAAAATAACCTACGTATTTTCGCTTCACTTGTTTTTTAACGTGAGGGAAGCATTCGCGTATTTTCCCACTTATAAGTTTTTACGTAATTTTTGAATTGTAAATGAAAAATATAAGCAAGAATAATGAGTATTTACAAATATGCAAAGAAAGTGGTAGAGCCATGCTGCAGTTATATTAGTAGTATAGTTGTAGCACGAATGGGTCGGCTCGACCGGGGAAGGACCACGCTCTCACAGAATACCAGCGTGAAATAGTAGCTTAATGCTGCTTTGTTTCGTATGGTGAGTGTAGAGAACCGGAGACCCTTTTTACTGGAAACGAGGCATTCCATCTTAGTCCTCACGGGTGACAAACCATCTGAATTTTGATTCGTAATCGAGGATAGATGTAGATGTATATGGGCCACAGCAACCATTTACCATCAGGTGGACTGTGTGCTCGTTTGTCACCCTATCCTATAAAAAAAAAAAAAAAAAGTTAGTCGCCAACGCGCATTGGGGCAGCGCGGTGGACACTTCCTTGCCCTAAAACACTCTCAGAAATGAGGGGAGGCCCGTGCTCAGCAGTGGGACGTATATAGGCTGTAACAATACTTACTTTAAAGAAAGTTAGTACGTGGCAGAACTCTGTGACCTAACGGCTTTTAAGGTACGCTAGCAACCAGAACCAAATCGCTTAAATATAAATGCACTCACTCGTCCAATGTCCCAGTCTCCTAACTTAACTCTTTTTTCCAGTGGTCACAACAAAACCAAACACAAATAATAACAAAGAAATATTTTCAACCACTAACAGTAATTATTGATCTGAGACGCCGTCTGATTTTCGTTTCATCCAATTCCTTGGCGTCGCGCAAACCCATTAACCCCATCTAGGGTTGGCAACAGTTTCGTAAGTGTTTTATTGAGTATAATAATTGTATTTCTAAAGGGATGTCTGTATATACCATCGTACGGTTTTTCGTTTTTAATTTTTATGTTTAGAACTATTTTATCGCATATGTCGAGAAGTAATGCTGAAATCTTCACTAAACTAATTCGATAGAACGATAATTGTATCAAAATAGATTTTACAACGAAGTATACATTTATGTCAACAGCTTTATACTTGCCTTACTTTGTTTTTATTACATCTAAAAGTGTTACTTCACTGTCCGCGAAAAAGACACCATAGTTAAACAATCGAAATGTTCCCGACTCACGAGACAGTGAAATGGTTAAAGAACGGACAAGTATCATTTTAATATTTTAAATTTCTTAGGAAAGGTAGCAGGTATCTTCGTGATGTTTATCATCATAAGCGAGAATTTGATGAACTGCGACTAACAATTCCACTATTGCAGACGTGCTGAGTATGAGCAAAGAGCAAAGTAGCCACCTAGTACAAAATAAGGCTGTTGTTGTTAGTAATGAGGGTAGACCTCTAAGCTCCCATTTGTTCGAGCAGTTTAAAGTATGGCGTATGTGTAGGCGACTAACTCGATCAGTCATTTTACGAGTCTTAATCAATGTCGTGATTCTGTCTGTTGTGTATGCGGAAAGGCTACCCTGCTATTGTTTAGCACTGCATATCTATTTTGGGGTTACCTTATATTTACTTCTAACTATTTACAGTGTTTTATGAGTATTTTACGACCAAAAGTCGTTACTGAGAAATATTCCTTTTCCTTAAAAAATATTCAGTGTGTTTTTTTTTAAATACACAAAACTATTTGCGTCACTTGTAAAACAAGCTTAGTAGTGTGTTATCACAATGCCGGTTTTCTATTTTAAGTTAAATTGATATGAAAACTGACTATCAATGTAACTTAAAATAGAAAACTAGTTTTCTAGAAAAAAATAAATAAAAAAATGCTGAACGTTGGTTTTGCTAAAACTCAAAAAACGGCTCGATAACGATTTTTGTGTGTGTTTGAATTGGTTCCTAGATGGTTTAAATTCACATTAGGACCCTATAGATGGCGCTGTTGTCGAGATCCAGAAATCAACTGCGTGAAGCCGGAACGGACCGGATCTACAGTATTCAAATAAAATTCACGTTTTAATTGAAACATTTGTTTCTAACCAACCCAAGTATCAACAGTAAATTACTATTAATATTAAAGCAATTTTAGATTCAAGATATAATATAATAAACATGTTGATCACTAGAAACCTATAAAAGGTAGGTTAATTATGTCTAGAGAATGTCGCAAGGAAAAGCCAAGCAAACCGTGTATACGGACGAATAACAAATTAACCTTGTAACAGCTGTGTGCACTCGCTTTATGACTGATTCCACAGAAAACATTGCACCGACAAAAGGTAATACACCCTTAGAGTTGATCAAACAATAATTATCAACACACGATGAATGAGCAAACACAATAATAAGTTCATACTAATATCATAATAATAAGTTCATAACGGCAATAATATTTAATCAGAGAACAATGGAAATATTTAAATATTATATACATTGCAATATATGAGTGTTATATAATAAGTGAACCTTTCTTTACCTTATGCTCTACGAACCTTTAAAAACAATACAATAAATTACAGTCTACATTAGCAAATTAGTTAAATAATATTTTATAATAGTCTATAGTCTATATAATATTTTATTTTATTTTATTTATTTTATAGAATAGGCTGACAAACGAGCACACAGTCCACCTGATGGTAAGTGGTTGCTGCGGCCCATAGACATCTACATCTATCTTCCATTACAAATCAAAATGCAAATGCGTTGTCACCCGTGAGGACTGAGATGGAATGCCTCGTTTCCAGTAAAAAGGGTCTCCGGTTCTCTACACTCACCATACGAAATACAGCAGCATTAAGCTACTATTTCACGCTGGTATTCTGTGAGAGCGTGGTCCTTCCCCGGTCGAGCCGACCCATTCGTGCTACAACTATACTACTAATATAACTGCAGCATGGCTCTACCACGTAAACAACAGTGTCTGTCCAGTTACTACACAAATAGCGCATTTTGTGTAGTAACTGGAGGATAAAATGACGTCAAATTTTTAGTACCCTTCTATTTTGTCAAGGGTCTTATTTTTCTTTATATTTTTGCCACGTAGCGGCAGCAAAGAGAATTCACTACCCAATTTCGTCCCTCGAAAGAGGTGGAAATCGCCTCAAAAATACATCCATAGATGGTGGTATCCACATCTAGTGTAAGCCATAATATGTAAAATATCTAACGAGGTGCAGTGATCTCATCTGGTACATCGATCGACAATCTGTCGGCCAGTCGTGTCCTCTTTACTCAATGTAAGAGGCCCATTTCAACAAGAGAGCTATTACGGGGGCTTAAAGAAAAAATAGTACA